TTCTATTCTATTCTATTCTATTCTATTCTATTCTATTCTATACTTTCTTCTATTCATTCCCCAGCCAGCTTGCTTTAAAACGGCTGGATTATAACTCCCAGAATCCCCCAGCCAGCCTGCTTTAAAATGGGTGAACTTTGCAATTTATTCTATTTGTTCTATTTGTTATTCTATTAATCTGGCCTCATTATCTCGGTGACATGAATCTCCGATACAACTGATAATATTCTGAAAAATTATGGCCCAGCTTAAAAAAAAACATGGAAAGAGCCAATTTAGAAAGATGCCGTCAGTCACCTGACGAACTTCTGCCTTCCTTATAAGAATTTGCTCCGTCTTCCTGGAACCTTTAGAGGTCATCCAGACCAACCCACTGATACCATAACTGTCTTTGAATCTCTAAAGGGTTGATCCTAAGATAAGAAATCATAGGCCAGTCATCTACCTTGTCCCCAGTTGGCAGGAGAAGAAATAGCAAGTTAAACTGACAAGGAAGAAAATTTAGATTAGAAGTCAGGTGGCGTTATAAGGTGTCAGCCAATGGTTCAGGCTGGCCAGGGAATTCTGGGAGTTGAAGTCCACACAGCTTAAAAGTTGCCAGGTTGAGAAACTCTGGAGGAAACTATTAGAAAACATTAATTTTTCTTCGTCCGATTGCCGGTGGGGAAAATATTATTTGATTGATTTCCAGGCCTTGGTGTTTGTTTCCTGGTCACAGACTGAGCAATCTTTTGCTATCAATCCAGATGAATTCCTGCCCTCCTTTCCTTCCTTCCTTCCTTCCTTCCTTCCTTCCTTCCTTCCTTCCTTCCTTCCTTCCTTCCTTCCTTCCTTCCTTCCTTTGCCTGTCTCCTTCCTTTGAGAGGGGAGCAAAGGGGGGGGGCATGCTTGGCTCTGCCCCCACCCCATCCAGAAAGAGTCATGGGGAGAAGAGGAGTTGGACTCCAAAAATTGAGGCCCCTTCCCCCAGCAGACAGACCCCTCTCTTTAAATACCTGCAACAGGTACTTAGAATAGGGGGTGTGCTTTGGGGACACCCCCCCCCCCCGCTAACCCCCCCCCCCCCCCCCCCCCCCGCCCCCCGACCGCTCCCTACTTGGAGAAGAAGTATGGGGAAGAGGAGAAATGAGGCCCACTCGTGTTAAGGTTGCTTCCCTAAGCAGCCAGCCCTTCTATCCAAGAGGGGCACATTTTGGGGACACCCCCCTCCCCGAGGGGTTGGCCTGCCCCTCCCAAGTGACCTCAGTCCCCCTCGCAACTTTGGAAAGAGGTCTGGGGAAGAGGAAGAAAAGGAGGGCCAAACCCACCCAGGTTCAAGCCCCCTAACCAAGCAGCCATCCCCCTATCCAAATGGGGTGAGTTTTGGGGAACCCCACCAAGTGTCTGCAACAGCCCCCTCTCCCAACGACCCCCCCATCTCCCTCTCAACTTTGGAAAGAAACGTGGGGAAGAGGAGGGGCCCAAACCCACCCAAATTCAAGCCCCCTCCCCAAGCAGCCAGCCCCCTATCCAACAAGCGGGGGTGAGCTTTGGGGAACCCCACCAAGTGTCTACAGCACTCCCAGCGGACACCCCCCCCCCCACCCCTGTCTCAACTTCGCAAAGAGGTGCGGGGAAGAGGAGGAAGAGGAGGGCCAAACCCAGCCAGATTCAAGCCCCCTCCCCAAGCGGCCAGTCCCCTTATCCAAGGGGGTCCCCTCCTCCAGTGACCCCCCTCATCTCCCTCTCAACTTTGGAAAGAAATGTGGGGAAGAGGAGGGGGCCAAACCCACCGAGGGTCCAGTTCCACTCCAAGCAACCAGGCGCCTTTATCCAAGCGGGGCGCGCTCGGGGGTCTCCTCTTTGGCGAGTCGAAGCCTCCCACCCACCCACCCCCGGACTCTGCCCACCACCCCCCCGCCCCTACCTTGGAGTACAAGCCCCAGGAGAGCTCCGTCTCGATGACCATCACCACGATGCCAAACATGCCGAAGATGAGCGCGTAATCGCTGAGCCGCTTGCGCTTCTCGAAGAGGGCGCGCCGGTGGCCCAGGCGGTAGCCGATGTTCTGGTTCTTGCGCTTGGGCACCTTGGCGAAGGGCGGCCCGGGGGCGCCGCCGGCCGGAGCCGACCCGGTGGAAGAAGAGGAAGGGGGTTGCTGCTGCTGTTTGGCCCCGGGACCCCCGCCCGTGTTGGCTTGCAACAGCCCCGCCGGGGAGTGGTTGTCTTCCCGGGAGATGACGATCTCCGGCGGGGGCGGCCCGGACGCCAAGAGTTGCAAAGGTTGAGCTTCTCCTCCGGGCTCCGGACCCGAAGCGGTGCCGGCAACCGGTCCGCTGGCGTCGAGCAGGTTCCGACGGGAAGCGCTGAGCCGGCTGAGCGGCTTCATGACGCCGCCGCTGTACTTGCACGAGCTCATGGCGATCTCGGTGAAGGGGTTGCTGTCCCGGCGGTGCGCCAAGGGGCTGGCGGCTTGGCGGTGCTTGGCCGTCCCTCCTCCTCCTCCGCCGCCGCCGCCGCCGCTGGAGCTGGGCGAGTGGCCCGGAGCCGCCCAACCGGGCTCGCCGCTGACGTTGGGCTGGCTGCCGTGGCGAGAAGCCGGGCGGAGGGCGGCCACCGCCGGGGGAGCCCGCAAGGGACCCCCGGAGGCCGGGGGCATCGGTGGCATCGGTGCCAAAGGAGCCGGGGTGGGTGCCAGGCTGGGGGGCGCGGCCGGCTCGCCCCCTCCCGGGTCGAGGAAGGGCGCGGGGGGCTCCATCCTCCTCCTCCTCTTCTCTTTCTTCTCCTTCTTCTTCTTCTTCCTCCTCCTCCTCTTCCTCTGCCCGGCCCTGGCCCTGGCCCGGCTCAGCGCGCTGCCCGCCCCAGCGCAGGGGCATCCAAGCCGGCGCCCACCCCCACCCGCGCGCCTTGCCCAGCCTGGGGGGCTGGGGCGGGTGGCAGCACCGGCAGCGGCGGCGGCTGCAGCCGAGCTGCCAGCGGGCGCGACTGGGAAGCCTGGCACACGAACGCGCCGGCCGGCCAAGCCCCCCCCTTGCCTTGGGATCGCGCTCATTGGTTGGCCCGGGAGGTGAGGGGGGGTGACATCACGAGCCCCCCTCTCCTCCTCCTTCCCCTCCCCTCCTTCTAGGGGGTGGGTGGGTGGAAGAGGAGCCCCCTCCTCGAAGCCGCCCGCCGGGACTGCGCCTGTGCGCTCTCCGCCGCCAGCGCCACGGGATTCGTGCTCCGCTTTTGCGCGCGCCCCCCCCCCCCCCCGCAAAGGACAACGGGGGTCTGCTTCATTCATTCGGCCGGGGAAAAGGACCCGCCCAGCCCCGCCCGCCTCCGGGAGGCGTGGAAAGGCTGGCCGGCAGGTGGGCGAAACAACAGGTGGTGATGCTGCTTGGAGAAGCCTTTCCCGGTTGGATGGCCGATTCCCGACGTCTATGGAGGAAGAGGAGGGGGAGCGGTCCGTGCACACCCCAAAAAATGCATCCACGTTACATCGGGAAGTCAGCCGCCCTAACATCTGGAAGAGCTCATCTAGCCCATTTGGGGGCTCACCCTCCCCCCTTTTTTAAACCCTTCCCACTCCTCACCAGCAGCTGCGGCCTCCAACTCCCATCAGCCGCCAGCTGGGAGGATGGAATGGTTTCTGGAGTCGGTGCCAACTGTCAAAAATTGATGTATGTATGTATGTATGTATGTAGGTAGGTAGGTAGGTAGGTAGGCAGGTAGTGATGATAGATAGATAGATAGATAGATAGATAGATAGATAGATAGATAGATAGATAGATGGATGGATGGATGGATGGATGGATGGATGGATGGATGGATGGATACACATACATACATACATAGATGAGAATGATAGATGCGTGTATGTGTGTGTGAGAGAGAGAGGTAGATGAGAGATGAGAGAATGATAGATGATAGAGAGAGAGAGAGGGAGGTAGATGAGATATAGATGATAGATAGATGATACAGAGAATGATAGATATGTAGGTAGGTAGATAGATGATAGATAGATGAGAATGATAGATGCGTGTATGTGTGTGAGAGAGAAAGGTTGAGAGATGAGAGAATGATAGAGGTAGATAGATGATAGATAGATGAATGATAGATATGTAGGTAGGTAGGTAGATATAGATAGATAGATAGATAGATAGATAGATAGATAGATAGATAGATAGATAGATAGATAGATATGACGGGCAGGAGAAATATCTGCTTCGGTCTGCCTTGGGAACACCTGGCTGGACACCTGTGGCTGTGCAATGGCCTTGCCGTATGCACACCCACTGCCAACCTTGCCCAGGTGTGACCCACGTACTCCATCCAGGTGGCAGAAGGGATGAAGCCACAGCCAGCCAAGGTTGCATCCAAGGAAACACCGAAATCGTGTGAAAAAAATCAAATAGCGTGAAAAACGGTCCCACGTCCCTCATGCCAGTGGCGACTTTCATCACTAAAGTTATCTCCTGTCTTTATAACTTGGCTGCTTTCCAAGGAATCCTTGTGGAACAGGCCAAAAGAGGTGTGTGTGTGGGGGGGGGGGGTCCAGAAGACAGAGAGACACTGCCCCCCCCTTCCTCTTAATGGCTCACCCCTCGTGTGCTGGATAGGACCAGTAACTGGAGGTGGAGTTCTCGCCTCACCATCAGGAGGCTGTGAGTTCGATCCTAGGTAGAAGCTATTAGTTGGGATAGACTCTCTCCTGCTCTAGCAGGGGGTTGGGCTAGATGACCTCCAAGGTCCCTTCCAACTCTTTGTTTATCTGTATATATAAAGCGAAATGCATCATCACAAAATCTCCGGAACCGTAAAGCCTACAAACTTGAAATTTGGCACGTAGGTTCCTCTTGGCTTCTAGGTGCTCAGGAAGAAAGGATTTTTCCAAATGACCATCAAGAGCATTAGTATTTCCTATATTATATTATTATTATTATTATTATTATTATTATTATTATTATTATTATTATTAACACGCTCTGATGCTAAGGAGTTCTACTCCCCCTCCCCACCTGAAAAGAAATCTCTTCCAAATGCAAAACACAAGCAGAGGAGGTTGTTTCAGAGCACCAAGCAGCTTTAGTACAGAACAGTTGAGCTAAGCCACGCCCAGGCTCCTTGCTGTCTCCTTCTTGCTCGCACAGCTAATACTCTTTCAATTTCCAAACAGCCCTCAACTCTTTCACACACTGAGAGGATGCTAGCCGGATGAATACCGATGGATACTGGTAGGCAGAGGCAGAATTTTCTGCCCCCTTATTTTCCCTCCCCAAAAACTAAGCCCCACCACATAGTTTCGTAGCGAAGCACATGGATATCCAGCTAGTTCGATATATAGGAAATAGAAACAAACACATTCATACAACCTGGGAAAATCCTTGCTTTTCCATCCTCCCCCTTTTAGTGGCTGCCCTGCTCGCATCCCTCACCTGGATTGGACCCCAGAAGGGCCAATTAAAAAAAAGAGGCAGGGGGCTTTAAACCAATCAATGGGCTTTATTGGAGCGTTGCCACCGCCTCCCTACCCAATAGGCGAAGAGAAAATGCAGTTCTCGTTAATATTAGCAATTCATACGCGATGCCTTAAACGGGGTATACACACAGCAACAGAGGCAGGAAATTGGGGAGGGTCTTGCAAACAGCTGGGAGAGCATTTCCCATTCAGAAGGCGGGAGGAGGGGAGTCCAGGCTGAAAACAGCCCCCTCCCCCAAAATGCAACAGCCTTGCAGAACTCCTCACCTTTTTTTTTTGCAAATTCGGTTTGCGCACCTTCCCGGGAGCCGATCTGCTTAGTGGCCAACTTATTTTAATCCCCTCCCACCCCCCCAGCACCGGAGCGGAATGAAGCCAAGGAGGGAGGGGGATTAAACTCGGGGAGGGGCTGCAAAAAACGCACCTTCCAGGTGCATTTCAGAGGCTGCTTTCAATGCGCTTCGCTCTCATCCCAATGCAATTTTTTTTGGGGGGGGGGGGGGCTCTCCCCCCCCGCTTTCTGGAAGGAAATCCCCCCCCCCCGTCCCTCCCCATATGGCAGAAGAACATTTGCTGGAGGAGAAATTGGCATTCTGCCATGGGCCAAGGGGGGGTGAGGAGGATTTGGGGAGGAACGAAGGAACGAAGCGAAGAGAAAAGGAGGAGGAAAACCAGGCGGAGAGCGTTTTTCGAGAATAAGGCACGACAATGTGGTTTCCCCACCTGTTTGGGGACCCCCAGTGGGTTTTCCTAACCACAAAGGACCATAAATTGGGAATAAATTTATTTTATCTCGAGTGGGAAAAATGGGATTTTCCTCCCCACTGTCCTGGGGGGGGGGGGGGTTTCCTCCACCAATGGGATTCTTTCTTTTTTCCGCCCACGGATCAAATCAGGAGAAAAAAAAGGGTAGAAATCCCACCTCCAGGAGAACTAAAATCAGGTGTTTTTTGTTGTTTTTGGGGGGGGAGAGAAAAAGCAGGTCTTGCTCTGCCCCCTGGTGGCAGGAAGCGGTACTGTCCCCATCTCAAAGTGGGGGGGGGGGACAGGGAAGAACAAGGACCCCCGTCATCCCTTCCACCAACAGGGGAGAGGAAGGAGGAATCGAGACCTATAGAAAGGTGGGGATTTAATCTTCCTCCCAGAGTGACCTGCGGGGTGGTAAAAGCAGGAGGCCTTGTTGCGATGGAGGGGGAAAAAAAAACACATTAAGAAGAAAAACCGGCACTGGATTATGGCACTTTCTGGAACGGAGTCTCCATTCCAGGAAGGAAGCTGTACAGCAAAGTTTAACGGGATCGTTTCTGGCTTGGGGAGGGAGGGGGGGTTGTCTTCTGTTTTGGGAAGGACCTCCTCTTGTGACGCCTTCACCCCTCTTTGGTCCTTCAGCCGAGCCCCCCTTCCCCCTTCGTGCCCTCCCCAACAGAGCTACGGAAGGGGGGAGAGTGAGAAAGAGAGAGAAAGAGAGAGAGAGAGAGAGAGACCGGGAAACCCAGTTGGTTCCTAAAGTTTGGTCTGGATAAACTGGAGCAATTTCTCCAGCTGGGCATCCAAGGACAGCTGGTCTCCGTCGTTGGTGATCACCCAGTCGTAGGAGATGCCTTGGTCTAATCCGCACTCGGATTCAGCGTCGTCAATTCCTGGGGAGCGGAGAAAAGAGACAGGAGGGGGAAAAAAAAAAAGGTTTGAACGTCAGAACTTCGAGTCAAATTGATCCAGTCAAATTGAAAACCCGGTGGCTTTTACAAATGTGCATGCACACACACACACACAGAGGTAACCCATTGGAAGAAGTTGGCCTCCACTGGCCTCCTGAGTTTCTTAAGGGCTAGAAACTTAGGATCCACCAAAATGAAGATTTGGGGACTTGAAGACTCATATAACGCCTTAACGTATTCAATAAATACCCCAGAAACTCATTTATGTACAACTCCCACACTGAGAAATTGTGCACCGAAGACAAATTTCTTGGGTGTCCCTTGGCCGAATATAGCCTTCTATTCTTATTCTAACTATATTCTAATTCTAATTAATTTTAATTCTATTCTATTCTCTCTTCGCTTCTCTCTTCTACTCTATTTTCTCTTCTCTTCCCTATTCTCTATTCTATTCTATTCTCCAATATTATTCTATATTCTATTCTCCAGTATTATTCTATATTCTATTCTATTCTATTCTCCAATATTATTCTATATTCTATTCTATTCTCCAATA